ATCCTTCTGAGCTGGCTCTTTGGATTGGGGGCCCCATTTTATGGCCATTGATTCTCTTCCCCTTTCCAAGGCCTGTTCCAGTTGGTGTTAGTTGCGACAGTGTGACCTGGACTCCTCTCTGAGATGCTGCAGGGTTCCTCTATCCCCTCTATTTCAACATCTACATCAGGGATGTCAAACTCAAGGCCTGTGAGCCAGATCCGGCCTGTGAGATGCTTGAATCTGGCCCGCGATGCCTCTGCTAGCAAAAATGGGGCACGAGGAAGGAGTTGTCGTAGTTGTCTGTGGGCCAGCCGGGGGAGGAGATGGGACAGACGCCCTCCTGCAGCATCCTGCCGGCCACAATGGAGAACTACAATGCTAATCCGGCCCTCGAAGAAATCCAGTTTGACACCCCTGATCTAGATGAACCCACTGGGTCAAATTATCTGACCATTTGGGGTTTGGTACCACCAGTTTTTTTACTGAAGTACTGTATTACCTATACTTTTCACTATTTTCTTCTTACACTTAACACAAAGTTTATTTAAGCAATGAAACAGCAAAGGCAACTTGTTTAAGTTGGGCTTCCGTGGTCATAATGAACAGATATGGCAAAGTTGGATTTTGCATGCTACTCCTGATATAGCCCTTAATAGACCACTTTGGATAATATCATAGGGTTGTAAGAAAATATTGCAGCATAAAAAAATCAAAATCAAACTAAATTGTTAAAGAAGACAAGGAAAATTAATATATACCTTCAGTTCTTTCACATCAATGCTACCACACCCCTCAGTATCAAACAAATCAAAAGCTTCTCTGATCTCCTGCTTCTGATCTTCAGAAAGGTCATGTCTTAACCCACTTTTCCGACGATGGGAGCCACTCAAACCTGGTTTTTTGTATCCAGATGCCTTCAATAAATGCAAGTTAAAATAGTAAAGTATCTATTTCAGTGAACTTATTTTCCACATCGCCAAACAAGCCAATAGTAAACAGCCCAACCAAAGATCCTCTAAGACCACCTTCCTCAACCCTGGCAGAGCAAGTCACTAGAATATAAACTGACACAGAACCCCACTCCTTACTAGCACCAATGATGTTACCTAATTTGGGTAATGAAACATCTGCGAGAAAACAATCAAGCTCAGAAGGGTACCAAGGACTCCTCATTTCAACCCTGAGCTACAAATATTCTTCTTTATTGGTCCATGTTGCTTTCAAGTGTATATGTTCACTATAGGTGGTGCTTATATTGATCATTTGTACTGCACTTAGATATAAGAAGATATCAAAAATATTAATTGGTAGAAAACATAAAATTTTCCTCCTTAAAGCCTTATTTCAATTGCATGTACTTTACACATAGGTGTAATTTGGATGCTTTCTCAAAGGGAACAACCAGAAACACTTGAAGGATGGGAACAAACTGCAAAACCTCCCAATTTTATCAAGACTGGAAAGCTGGAGTCATACATGGCACTAAGCCATGTTTACTTTTGAGTGTGTTGTGGAAATACAGCCCTTTTATAAACAATATTTTTCAGCCCGCTGGAGCTTAGTCAGCAAGTTATGGCTGAAAACCACGCATGCGGTGCCCTTTTACTACAAGTATTAACACTGCAAAGAGGAAACAAAATCCACTGTACAATAAATGTTATTCAAATCGCCTCATGTTTCCTCGTGAGGCATTTCTTGATTTACGGGATTTAGGACTCAGGTATATATTCACCGGCAAAAAGGGCACCAGCTCTCTGCACACTTATCCAGGAATGGGGAAACTTTTTTCCCTTCCAGCAGAAATTCAGAAGATCGAGATACAACACTTTATTTTTTCTTTATTTTTTTACTTTGCTCGGGTTCTTAAAATATCCGCGAGTAAAATAGGGCATAGATTTACTTCAGCCAATCAGACTGAATTTGGCGCGAAAAGTAATCCGAAAGCCACTGGTTCAGGATGAATTGCAAACTGTGGTCGCTAGAGGTTTAATGACGCTGCAACTTAATTCAGTTAACTAGATCTAGTGAGAGGTGAATGCGTGAGAAAGGCTACAAAGAGATTATCACATGTTATTTCCTTTACCAAAACGTGAGGAAAGAAACACTCACCATTATCTTACAGAAGCTCAGTTCACTTGTTCAAGAAACCACACAAACCAAGCCACCTGCAAACATTGATTACGTCCCGCCTCTTACGTGCCCGGATTGTCCAATGGCCGAAAAGATTCCCGCGAAAGTTCGCCTCCGTTCGTTTTAACCGAGGCCAATCCAGAAACGCGAGTGGTGGGCGAGCTTTGTGACGCCATTTCGTGTTGCCGTTTCCGCTGGATACACAACAAACGAGGCGCTGGCGTCCTAGTAACCAGACCCGCAACGCGTTGGTTTCCCTGAGCAGCTGCTGGTTGACAAAATTATTTTGCAATCAGCCAAGGAAGGACGTGGTGGCAGGGTGGGTTCGACCTTTGCTGAGGTTATTGCGTTAGGGAGATTTGGAATAATGCGAATTGGCTTTTGACCGCTTCATTAACGGAACTGCAAGGTAGCCAAATTGGTCCAGTAGGAACACCAAATAAACCTTCAAATGCAACAACGCAGGAATCTTTGATGTCTAGCCATTTACTTGTCGCAGAAGCAAGTAGTGAAGATAAATTTATCAAGGTCTCAGCAGGATCAGAAGAGTAGTATTGAAAACTATTGCGATTTCATAACACTAACCCTTTTCATAAAATCCTTCCGAATCATTGCTTAAGAGTTGTAAAGCCTCTTGTTTATTTGTTATTGTTTACACTTTTCTATAAGGATCGTTTAAACTAAAGGACTATTGGAAAATAATAAAAAGCTCAAGCAAATATCTGAACGGAAAGCAAAGTTGGCAAATAATTATTGACTTGAATGAGTTCCTAGATGAAATAACCGACAAATAAAGCCGAAGTAAATTCTTAAGAGGATCATAGGTTAAAAGTGATTCGCGGACGTCCTGTCGATTGCTATTTTACATTATTTACGATTTTCAGTTAGCTTTAATAACTGACCTGAAACATATCAATACTTTTTTGAATCAAATATTAAAAGCACACTACAGAATATTAAAACTTAACATCTTAAATGTAACCAAAAATGCACCTTTTTCTGAGCTCGTGGTCAGAATATAAGTAATATTGTAGACTCCAAAATTTTCAAAACCATAGAAAAGAGCAGCGCAACCTCATGCTGTGTCATTAGGATCCTTACTCAAAACCCACTCCCTGCTTTTATTTAGTCCTCTGCTGCAACTTAAAGCTGCAGTCGAATTATATTAATGCTTATCCTCCTGGTCGAAAAGCTTCCCGTGGTCTCAGTAGACTTCTTTATATTTCGCTCACCGTTTCATCTTTTCGCTCAAGTAAGGGCAGACAGAGTACGGGCAAAAGCTTCACATGCTATCGCGCATGCTCAGCAGAAGACATTTCCGTCCGGGCCGGCAGCGCAGAGACTGTTGCTTGCTCGAAATGCGTCTCCTTTGCAAAGGGAGGCGAGGTTAGGACCCTTGTGGGAGAAGGATTAGCACTACCTCGGGTTCAAGCCGCGGCTTCTGACTTTCACAAGGGAAGTAAAGCCGAGCAGGTAATTGCTTTATTAAAGCCGATTCAGTTCGCGGGAGATATTTGACGCCCTCCTTTGGGAAAAAAAACAAACCCCTCCATCCCGATTCTGCCCAACCCCTCTCCCACCTTACTGGGGGAAGGGTGCGTGTGTGTGGGGGGGCATGTAGGGCGGAGTCCGAGGAGCTGCAGATGGTGATTGACACTCTCGCGCTGCCCCTCCCTCTGGTGACATGGCAAGCATCTGCCTCGACCGCTTCTCTGCTTCCCCAGAGGGCCGCGTTGGGAATGACAAAATTTAGCCGCCTCTATTTCCTCCTCTGTATTATCCTGAATCTGGGGCGACAAAATGCAAGGATTGGGGGCGGGTCTGGATGCGGTCCAAATCCTTCCCATGTGTCGCCCAGAGGAAGATGGCCGGGCAAGACAGGACGGGATAGCTGTTGCTCGGGGACTTCTCCCTTGCCGCGCAGAGAAACGGGCAACCAACCCGAGAGTCTTACTGAGCTCCTGGGTTGGCAAGGAGAAGGGTGTGTGTGTGTGAGTGTGGGAGAGTTGTGACCGCACAGCACAGAGTTAAGCAGCTAACAAGAGTGCTGCGGCCCTTTACGCCGACTTCGATCCGGTTCTGCTAGTGTCGTTGGGTGAGCAAGAGGGTAGCAGCCAGCAGCCAGCTAGTTGCCCCTCAGGCAGGAAGAGAAGCCAACTGAAGGAATCCTTTTCCAGATTTCGGCTTCTTCCTTCCCCTGTGCGTGGTGATGGCCAGCTGTCCTGTCTGAGTAGTGGTTGACAAGTCCTTAAGTAGTTGATTTCCCTGCTTCTGTTGCCCTTTGCCTGCCCAGGGGAAAGCAAGAACATTTTCCTTTTCTAGAGGATGGTGGGGAACACAATTCGCTAAAGAGGAACCAGGTAAAACTATAGTTTCATCTTCGTGTTGGGGAAAGGTCCTTGCACTGCTGGGCCTTTTTTTTAAAAAAAAGTTTACCCTTTCATACCAGTGGATCATTCGACCAGTGAAATAAATGCCATTTTATCATGCACTGATCAAATAAGCAAAAGCCTAATCCAAGGTTCTGAAGCAAATTTTTCAGCTCAATCCTGAAATGTTTCTGACTATGTCAGCAGAAAGAATTTTAGCAAGTGAAAATTGTACCTGCTGACTTCCCTGAGGATTTCTATACCAGAGCTCTACACACTTCAGGGCCAGTGGTGGGTTTCAAAGTAGGTTACCACCTGTTTGGTGGGTGTGGCTTGGTGGGTGTGCTTTGCGTACGTGCATGCCAAACACCCACTTTGCACAGGTGCAGAGGCTTTCCTACTCACCTGCAATCCTGCACTCCTACTGTAGTTGCAGCAGCTGACATGTAGCAATCTGCTGTGCCATGCAAAGCAACTGCACTTCAAAAGCAGGAAATAAAGGTCAGTATGGGAGCCCGGGCAGGTGGGTGGACCCAACAGCAGCTCCTCAGAGAACCGGTTCGGTCTCCACTGATATTCGGCGCTACTGATATGCCAGAACCGGGCTGAATCGGTAGAATGGCACCACTGTTCAGGCCTACTTTAGACCCGGTTTGATCTCATGTTGCTTGTTTGTTGGTGACTCTGCTTTAATATATTTGTAATCACAGCATAGCTAGTTTCCTGTGAATCATTGGGTTCTGTGGATCTTAGTGATATCATTTCCCTTGGTAGGAAGTCTTGCCTGGCTAGGGAATTCTGGGAATTGAAGTCAACACATTTTAAAATTACAGCGGTTGAAATACACTGTTCCAGAGAGTATAGCATCTGGTCTCTTCCTTATTTAGAACATCCCTTGGCGTGCAGCCAAGGTCCCATCTATTGGGAAAAGCACTTAGTTACAAAATTACCACCATGCTGACATATCATCAGAATTCAAATTTGAAATGCATCTGAGGAATGACAGCCAAAAGCCTTTGAAATATTTCAGTGTGGTCCTTTACATACTTTACAATCAATCCTAACTTTTGAAAACTCCCTACCATAATGACCATTAGATTTTATTCTGCCAGCATAAGATCTGAAATACAAATAAAATACATGTACAAACCATGACCCAGGTGTGTTATCAATTTGTTCTCTTTTGTGTGGAGATGAGTCTTTTTACTGCAGGACTATTGGCAGGTAGGAGATAGAGGCAATGGGGGATGATTTTCCGTTGGTCAGTTGGGGAAAAGGACAGTAAGCACTGCTCACCTCAGGATGTTTTTTCCATTCATGGCCTGCAGGAATGAAGACAATTAGGTAATGTTTTCTAAAGGATTGAAGAGGAGGGGTAGAAATTCTCAAATGATGTGGATGAGCCCAAGTGATGATGAGAAGGTTTTACTGTTGTTGTGCAATGCTGACATAAACCCTTCCAATCTAGACACTTCTGCATGATTGCAACAGCTGACTGTACTCATGTACAGCTGCTTTATTATATGAATTATTCCATTTATTCAGCTCTCTACAATATAAAGGTTATGTTCTTGTATGATGCATAAAATGCTAGTCCACTGAATTAATAAAACTATTTACCCAACACTTCGAATCATACAGTCACCACAGAAGATTTGTACAACACACTGAGCCACAAACTAACTGATTGCATTTCAACATCGTGGAATGTTGTGGGAACACAGTCTAAATTTTATTTATTGTATATTCCGTGATAAGTTTTGTTGGTTCTAAAAAACACCAATGCAATTTCATTCCTTTTATTAAGACAACAGTGGTTCCATAAACAATTGCATTTATGATTCTGTTTTAAAAAATTGTTTAGGGAAAAGACTGATATAAGTAGCTCAGCAAATATAGATAATGAGCAAAGAAAGTTGCCAAGAAAAAATTCTAGAAGAAATAACCAGTTTCGCACTATATTTTTTTTTCTTTTCTTCCTTCTGTATTCATGCATACATCTAAGAACATAAAAAACTAATAAAGAAGTTGATTAGTTTAAAGATATGTCCAAATCATTTATTAGCAAATGCAGTAGATATGACCGTGGCATAATTCTAGTTTTTGGAAGGCTCTATAAATTTACTCGGTTCATCTACCAGAAGAATGGGAGAAAAAGAGACTGTAGATTCTTGATTTTAGTACAAAGAGAAACTGCCTGCATGCCTAGTCAAAACAAATCCAGAAATCACAGCAGTTTTTTCCCCCCATTTGCCTGAATTGTAACACTATGCACATTTAAATTGGTTTTTTTTAATGGCAGTATTCTGGAGATAGTGCTTCTCTCTTTTTCTTATAATCTGGTCTTCATTTGGTTCCTATTACTCCACCAATAATCTAATTTTCCAAATAAATTTTTATGAATTTAAATATACTTGATTCATTCTTTAATGCTAATTCTAGGCTTTTATTCATCGAATGTTTAGCCACATCAACCAGCAAATTTATATGGGATATAGAATTTAATTTCTATCTGAACTGAGTGCAGCTCTATCTCAGAGAGACATGTCAGTAGTGTCCAAAATGTAACATAAAAGCCAAAAGAAATAAGGCACAAACAACAAATATGTGTTTCATTTACAGCTGTCCTGGGAACATGGCTTTCAGAAACGTGAACAGAAAGAGACATATTGGTCTGCAACATCTTTCAGCTTTGGCTTCCACTGGACGGACACTTTTAGGACCCATGAAATCGTCTAAATTTATAGTTGATGGAAGTATTCCTGGTGGTGTGTTGATTTGCTCTCCACTGAGACTTCTTGAGAACATGGATTTAAGTAGTGCTGTGGGGCAGCTTCTGAATGAAGCCATCCAAGCACAGAACAAAGATTATAAAACAGGGATGGCCACTCTGTTCTTTCTTGTTGGCGCATGGAGCAATGCTGTACTTGAGTGCCTTCAGCACGATGTTCCAGTTTCACTCATAGTAGCTATAATGTCTGAAAGTTTGGATTCTTGCATTGAACAAGTGCAGTGTATTGCATTATCATTACACAGCATACAGCAAAAGCTAAATGATATTCCTATAGAATATGAAGGCATGAGCCTTATCAATAGTAGCTCTAGCCCCTCTGGAAAACAGTTTACTGGTATTAGTATTTTAAATCTGCTTAAAAATGAACTATCAGAAGAAAAATCAGAAGATCATATGATCCAGCAAACAAATGATATCAGTCCAGGCACACCCATCATCAACAGTATGAAATGTTTACTATCGGAGTCAATGAACAGCAATTTTGTTTACAGTGTTTGCAAGACAATGATTAAAAAACCCTCTGATTTGCATAATTGTCATTTGGATGCCTTGACTTATAACAGAAGATCAAAATTAACCCATAGTAGATATTTTAGCAATGTAAATAAATGTGAATCACCACAACAAACAATACATCTGGATGAATGTCCGAAACCTTTTGACAAGCTTAGTTATTTGGGACAACTCGCATTATCTCTTAGCCATGGAAATGAATCTGCCCCAAAAATGATACAGGACATTCTCAAATGCCAGCTTCCAGGTGCCAACCAAAAAACTGAAACCCGTCCTTTCCAATTTAATATTTCAGAAATTGTGACATGCTGTTTATCAGGAATATCCGAAAGTCATTCATGTGTTCACCCTGGCTATATTACGCTTGTATGTCCAGCAAAAGCTGCTGCTGTGAAGCAATTTCAGGATATGCCTATTCGTGTTATTCTTGTAGATGGTGACTTAACTGAAAATTATCGCCATTTAGGGTTTAATAGATTAGAGAATATGAGCATATTTTCAGAAAATGTGCCTCATTCAAAGGAAAGCTCAAGCTTATGGGTTGATTCTATAATGGACATTCTGATTCAGTCTAATATTAATTTAATTTTGGTACAAGGTGCCACATGTGAAATTCTAGAAGAAAAATGTCTCTTACATAAAATAGTGATAATTAATCATGTGGACCATAATGTGTTGAGAGCTTTTAGTGATATGAGAGCTGAGATAGTGACTTACATTAGTCAAGTGAATGAGGATTGTATTGTCAAAGGCATATGCGTCAATCTCTATGGGACTCTGGAATTAAATTTGGTGGAGGTCAGTGGCCAAATCCCACTTGCTTTAACAGCAGAAGGACTTCGATTGGTAACTGTTGTGCTCTGTTGCCCTTTTATGTCAAAGATGCAAGCCATGGAAGATCAGTTTTGGACCTGTGTGTATCGTCTACATCATGCACTTCTTGATCAAGCTGTTTTTCCAGGAGGTGGTGCAGTTGAGCTCCTATGCCTCAGTTTTCTTGAAAAACTAGAAGCAATCCCAAACTCTACAGGCCACTTTCATGTTGCCTCTTCCTGGTTCGCAAACTCTTCAGAACAATATAAATCTTTAGTGCTTAGTGTTTTGGCAAGTGGTTGGCGCCAGTACCTTTTTGCTGTCATGGGTAATGCAGCAAAGTATACATCAGAGTTTGAAACCCACACTGTCATACAGCAGCATCTCAGAAGAGCAGCCATGCATGCTTCACCATCTGCCTATATCTTGGAGGAATTTAGTAAGGGAAAGATAGGAGTAAGCATTGAACATTCTGCAATAGGTGGAAAGGCTTTGAAAATGTGTGACAATATTACTGCTAAATTAGAAGCTTGGCGCAGAGCTCTAGAATTGGTGCTCTTGGTCCTTCAGACGGATGCTGAAATTATTACAGGCCCGAAAAAGGATGAATTGTTGAAATCACAAGACTCATGTGACTTCCTATTTTTATAGGATTCTGTGTTGCTGTTAATGGATGATTAACAGTATTAATTAGCTATTAATAGTATTTGTGGGCAAAGTCAGGAGCAAAAATGTCTCTGAAAATACAGTCCAGAATTATGGAACCTTTGTTTCATAAAACAAAGTTCACCTTCAGAGAATGAGGTCAGTCCCAAAAGACTCATTTCCATATAAATTATAACTCTGGTTTCCTTAGTTGGCAATGATATAATCTGGTGAAAATTTAATTGTAGCTGTATCCCCTCTTCTAAATGTGACTTAAACCCCCCCATTCTGTGAAAATTTTGTCTTTCATCAAACAGAAATATTAAAGGGTTCAATAGTATAGAAAAGGTACTTTTAAAGGCAATGTTTGTATCAACATGTTTGTTAAATTTGTTTTCAACAAATGTTTATTGAGCATTTATGTTTAGAGTGTAAAACAAGTTTTTAACAATGGTATGTATATGTGTAAGCAATATATTAGCTCTGAAAAATAATATTTTACATATCTGAAACTATATTTCATTTTTCTGTTCTGCTTTGATTTAAAATATTTGAGATTATTGCTGTTCTTAAAAGAAAAAACACTTCCATCAAACACAGCATAATTAGGTGTAAAAAGAATTGACTGTTCTTTTTAGCCAGCAGATGGCAATCTACACTGCTATTTACTACAACCTTAAATACAATTAACCTTAAACGTTTTAATTAAAAACAACATGGTTTTGTTGCACATAAAACTGTATTCAAACTGTGTTCATACAGTTTGACAAAAGTTAGAGAATCAAATAAAAGCCATATTTGCAAATAATAGGAAAAATAAGGGCTAGTCTATCAGCCTGCCCCAGGTGCTTGATATGGACCCTATGAGTTTTCAGAAGGAAGTTGGGATTATTCCTGAAGCTCTGCTACATAGTTTGAAATTAGAATGCAATGTGAGTCTTATATTGAATCATATCTGTGCAGGCACTTTCAGTTTGTGAATCCTGTAATGTCCACTCTTTTATGGAAAAACTCTCGGAGATGAAACTGTATGAGATTCCTAGTGCACTGCTGGAAAAAGAATGAATCCAATTGAACATGGCTGACAACTTCATTAGGACGTACCTTGTGAAAATAAAAGTGATGAAGAGAACAAACTTCTCCACTCTTATTGTGTCCACATATATTTGTTTATTTAATAAATGTATAGCCCACCCATTTCATATACTGTACATCATTCCAGGCAACTTATAACATAGTCAGCTGGCCGACCTGTTCTTGATAAACAGGTCCCTCTTTGGTAAGAAGGGTTCATGGAAATCCTTGTGAATATTATTGCAGGCATTTGTCAGATAAAAACCACACATCCAAAATATCTTGAATTCCAGCTGGGCAGGTCCTATGAACTTGACGAGCATGTTCAGTTCATGTTTCAGCCAGTTGGTCCTGAGGAAGGGGTCAGGGTCCTTGCAGCTGTGAGCTCTGTCACCTGTGTTTTGGACCCATGTTCCTCTTGGATTATCAAAGCTTCCTGGGATATGGTTGGATCCAAGTGGTGTTTAATGCCCGCTGCAGAGGTGTCTGGTTATCTCTGCCTTGAAGGAGGCAGTATTTCACTTCAAGAAGCCATTTTTGAACCTAATTTTCTTAAACAACTTTTGTCCAATGTTCAACACTTCCCTTTTTGGGAAGGTTGTGAATATGGTGATAGGTGCTCACCTTCAAAGAGCCCCAGAAGAAGATCTTTTTCAGTTGGAATTCAGACTGAGTTATGGTAGTGAGAAGGTACTTATGGAGTGTGGAAAAGACATTTTGAGACTGGACAAAGCTGTCAAGATGAGATAAAAGAGCAAAATCTCAGCTGGACAGAAGGAAGGGCAACAAATTCAGACACTTCCAAGTTACTCCAGTGGTAAAGGAGATGTGGGGAAGAGAAAATTGTACTTTCAGACTCACAAGGTTCTGTCAGTATAGCATTAAAATAAAGTAGAATTAACTCATCTGGTTGTGAGTCCAATTTAATTTATCCTTTGAGGCTGACATCAATCTAACTTCCCAGAGTTGCTTTGGATAATGAGATGGGTATATAAATTTAATAAATAAATACAATCTCCCAACTCCGAAATATTTTAAGAACAGCTACTGTATAGGTCTGATTGCTATCCCAGCAGATTAAAAACAATTGCCCAAATTAATTATTTTGTTAGGCTAGCACAGTGTTAGCAAACCTTTTTGTTGTGTGTCGAAAGTGCGTGCACGTGCGCGTGTGCCAGCACCCACAGTGCAATGCACCCCCCTGCGCATGCACGCACAACACCCCTGCCCCACAGCCTTATACTGCACATGCGCTCACCTCCCAACTGATTTTCAGCCCGTTTGAGGCCATTTTTGCCCTCCTGGAGGCTCAAGGGAAGCCTCTGCAGCTTCTGGAGGCCGAAAAACGGACCTTCTGGAAATACTGGAAATGCCCATTTTCAGCCTCTGGAGAGCCTCTGGAGCCCCATTTTTGTCCTCCCGGAGACTTGAGGGAAGCTCTGCAGCCTCAGGAGGCCAAAAAATGGGCTCATTTCGGCACTTCTGGTATTTCTGGAGGGCCCATTTTTGGGCCTCTTGAGGCTGCAGAGCTTCCCTCAAGTCTCAAGGAAGGACAAAAACGGGGCTCCAGAGGCTCTCCAGAGGCTGAAAATGGGCATTTCCAGTATTTCCAGAAGGTCCGTTTTTCGGCCTCCTGAGGCTGCAGAGACTTCCCTCGAGCCTCCAGGAGGGTGAAAATGGCCTCCCCTGGGCTCCAGAGGCCCTCCAGGAGGCTGAAAATGGGCACTTCAGGTATTCCCAGAAGGCCCATGGATGTGTTTTCAGTGGGGATTAAAAGCAAATAGGCAGTTCAGCAGCCTCCTGAAACTTTTTTCTTGCAAGAAGGAAAACCTTCTCATAGTGTACAACAGTATGAACAGGACTTACACAAGGCTTCTATGTGAAGCGTTCCTTGAAGTAAACAAGTAAACAAAGGAGAAAAGTGCAGTTTGATATTTATGTTTACAAGTTATTGCCAACCTTTACTTTAATTTTTCACACCATTTCTGGAACATAACAAATTACTTTTATGCAAAAATAGAACTGCACAATTATTTTCACCCTAGGAAAACCACATTCTGAGTTCTATCCACATTCTGAATTCTTCCTATCCACATTGTGATATTAAAAAATTGACTATTTTGCCATGCAATACATTTTAACTTTTTGTTTAGATCATTGTGGTTTCTTGAAAAAAAAAAACCATAATTACTGAGTTTGTGCATTGCAAAAAATAAAAAATCTTTCTTCACAAATCACAATAGCTGAATTAAAACCACAAACTAAAATCAAGAAATCATATGGTTTTGCACCATGCATAAACAATTTTTCCAGCTTCCTTTTGGCCTGCTTCCATTTCTTATATGTCATGTGCATCTCGACACTGCTTTTTATAGTGTAGAACAGAGGTGTCAAACTCACGATGTCACGTGATGTATCAGGACTTTTTTCCCCTTCGCTAAACCTGGTGTGGGCGTGGCCAATGCGTGACACATCAGCCTGCGGGCAGAAAGTTTGACAGCCCTGGTGTAGAAAGTCAGCACCCACCTCCCAGAAGAATGAAATATTTTGGGAAATATTAAGAAGGCAAGATATTATATTTCCCTAATGCAGAAATGGAGAAACATGCTCTTAAAAGACAGAAAGCAGGCTCAATCTCCCTGCCCCCAGCAGATACTGAGGCCAGCTTGGTAATCTATTCAAGACAGGATATTTTGAAACAAAGGCAGAATGGTAGGATTAGAAGCAGCCCAGAGCAGTCCAAACTTCAACCAAACTTAGCACAGACAAACACCTAGGATTTATACTTTGCCTAAAGAGCCAGCTATATGGTCCCACGGGAATCTGACAACAGCCAATAGAATACATGTTCTTGCACAGGAACAGGAAGTTCAAGTGCAAAGCCCGAATATGGTATAAAAACCCCTCACTCTCAACTCCTTTTGGTCAGATTCACCAGAACCACAAACATATGTTCCTGTTCATCAACAAATGGACCTCTTTTCAATCAGCCTCCAACCTCCATTTTGTCTCTAATGCCTTTCTCCTGGCTTGGAACTGAACCAGATGGATATTTCTTCCCACAATAGTATATATGAAATGCTTTTTTATTTGGACTTTCAGATCTGTTTTAATTAGCATCGTACATAACAGAGATTTAGTATAGGTATTTCCTAGGCTTTATCAGTCTTCAGCCAAAACAAGCATGCCTCAGAATAACAGTTAGAAGGGACTTTGGACTCTCGTCCTACCCCCCGAACAAGCAGGAAATCCTATACCATTTCAGACAACTGGTTGCCCAATCTCTTCTTTAAAAACCTCCAGTGTTGTAGCATCCACAACTTCTGGAGGCAAGTCATTCCACTGATTAATTGTTCTAACTTTCAGGAAATTAGTTCTAGGTTGGTTCTCTCTTTTATTAGTTTCCTTCCATTGTTTGTTGTCCTACCTTCAGGTGCTTTGCAAAATAGGTTGACCTTCTCTTCTTTGTGGCAGTCCCTTAGATATTAGAACAATGATATCATGTCATTCCTAGTCCTTCTTTTCACTGAACTAGCCATACTCAATTCCTGCAACTGTTCTTCATATCTTTCTGCTTCCTAGAAAGAATGCAGAGAAGAGGAACAAGGATGATTAGGGAATCATCCTTCTTCCTCTTCTCTGCATTCTTTCTAGAGTCTCAAATCTTTTTTATATTGTGGCGACCAAAACTTGATGCAATATCCCAAGCGTGGTCTTACCAAATCATTATCAAAAGGTATTAACACTTTGCATGATCTTAATTCTATACCTGGAGCCTGTAATCCTAAAACTCTACTGGGATTTTATTGTTTTCATTGATATTTACATTTTAGATGTCTATACACATGAGATTAGTTTAAGGACCCAGATCTTGCACATAGGCAAGGCACAATATTTTCTTCTCTTTCAACCAAATTGATCCCAACATAAAGTGAAAGAGCAGGAGTGTACACTTTGACTACAATTCCAAAGCTTGAGGGTATGAATATGAAGCAGAAGAAACTTTTATGGTCTCATCCAAGCCCGTTGTTCTCTGCTCTGGTCTTGGGGGAAAGGAAAGAAATAGTTAAAGATCTGAAAGCAAGCAGATAACCTGAGAGGAGGACCAGGAAAGAAGAACACCTGAAAGTAGAGAGATTGAAAAATTTAACCAAGGGGAAGACTGGAAATAGCTGCAAGGATTTGGTGAGCTATTTTCCATGAGAAATATAAAGGTCATTAGGAAGAACTGTATGTGGGAGGAGGGAAGCGGATCTCTGGGATTAAAGTTTAGGAGAATGCAACTCAAAGCCAAGAAAATCTTCAGGGAACTGTGCAGAGACCTGCCTGGGCATGAGAAGACAGGAATTGGAGAAGAGAGAAGGTGCTGAACTATGAATCAGAAATCTCTAGGAAATCAACAGGAGACAAGAATAAATACTCCTACTAAAATTTGTGGGAATCAGGGATTAGTCATGCCCAACTAAATGGAGTAATGACCTGGAAGAGAATTCCTGCTCTTGGAAATATTATAAAAGTTCTAGGCCAACATTTACAATCAAATTATATTGCTTTTAGATATGCAAATCAGCTTCATCAGAGGTAGGATTCTACCAGTTCACAGCTATTTGCTAGAACCGGTTGTTAACATTCTAAGCAGTTTGGAGAACCGGTTGTTAGAAGAAATTACTGGCCTAATCCTGTAAGTAAGGCAGGAAGGAAACATTCTGGTGTATCTTACAGAAACTGCCTCTCCATTAACCCTTATTACATTCTTGGAAGGACTAGACTTCCTGTCTCTGGAACTTCTCTGGAGTTTTTTCCCCCTCCTTTGCTGGTAGTTTGCTTGTGTGGAGTGACCATTCAAAGTTACAATGGCACTGAAAAAAGTGACTTATCACAATTTTTCACACTTACGACTCTTGCAGCATCCCCACAGTCATGAGAGGCCAGGTGAGGAGATGCGTGCCTTGATGTGAGTGATGTTGAGTTGGCCACACCCAGCCAATAACATGACCACCAAGCCGTGTCCACCCAGTCACATGACCACCAAGCCACACCC